GTATTACACATAAACATTTAGGCTACAACGGCCTAACATAAACTATGGAACATAAAAGAAGATAATTTGAGAAATATCTGAGTATTTTTTGTTCATACAATAAAAGTCGCTGGTAACCAAAACAGCTTTGTTATCAACAATCTTCAAAATCCCATACTTTTATATTCCACAAAAGAAAGGTTTGAAACGGTTTGAGGGTGAGTAAATGATGACAGAAGTTACAATTTTGGGGTAAACTATCCCTTTAATGTTATTATTATTATTATTATTATTTTATGCGTTGTAATACATTATATCTTGTCGTAAATAATTATAACTGAATTTAAGGTGCATATAGTGTAACAATGAATTGATAAGTGTTATAATGTATTAACTGTACAATGAGATTGTACAATGCATTATAAGGTGAATTACAAGGCATAATTTATGCATTAAAACTACTTTTATAATGCATTATACATAAAGGCTTTAAGTGAAGTGTTACCTATTTTTTTCTTAATTTCATAAAGTCATGTAACTTCAAGCCTCCATCATTTAAGCATTATTATATAACATAAAAAAAAAATGTCTTCTAGCATATCACCGAAAATATGAGACAACATAGTATTAATAATTGATTTTTATAAATTCATTTAAAAATATTTATTATAATGCTAATATAATTCAAATATTTTAGCATGTCATTACTGAAAACGTGAGATAATGTAACCACTGATAATTACCAATAAGTATAATAAAATTAGTATTGCTGGTCATTTTAAATGACTGTTGTTGTTATTAATACAATTTTATTTATTTTTATTATGATTATTATTTCCTGTATTATTATTATATTTACTATTCTCACAAATTCAGATCATAAGCCTGCATCATTTGAAAACATGAGACAACATAACCACTAGTAAAAAAAAATTTTTTTTTTAATTAATCTACAGCATAACCCTTCTGGGCAGAAAAGATCATTACATGACAGGTCGGTTAGCAAAAAAGGAAACGTAAGCTTGGTTGAATTGGAATGGATTGAAGTTAGTTTGCAAAGGGTTTGATAGGGCACATTTCTCCATAGATTACGTCTAAATTACATTTCCTTATTAAGACTTAAGTCTCCGGCAGGTTAAAACAACAGCAGCGAGAGCATAGGTCAGCTTCAGCGCACGATTCCAGCTTCATTAAAAAGGAATCATTGAGCTTATTTCCAGAAGGTTCATTGAAACAGACATTCATGATTTTGCAGTTGTACCTTGGACTGTTATGAGTTATGGCTCAGGTCATACATTATGCCTCTTTCTCCTAATAACTTACTTATAAACAGCACACATGTCAAGCTACAAGGAAGAGGAGTGTCTGGCACCAACACAAAGAAGCTGTATGTCTGTATTCCTGCTGTCAGATAAACACTGTGATGTTCAATTCTGTGTAAAGACCCTATAATACAGTCCTGTTGCATTCTACAATCCATTAGTACACACATTCACAACCAATAACAATAAACCTTGAATTTACCCAAATAATGTAGATCAGTACTATGCCTTAAAAGTGCTGAGGAATTAGCCAACGTAAAGAAGCAGAAGGAAAAGGAGTTTAGAGACAATCCTTGGCACTGACTGTCTGAAAGAGTCGATCAAGCTTCCTTCAAAATCTTCAGAATCTGCAGAGATACACGATCAAATGACTCTCATTAAACCTGTAATGCAGAAAAAAAAAACCTGGATACAGTGATTTGTTAAAATTAAAATGTACCTAAATTATTTTAATTACAACAATTATTACTGTGATGTATAATGAAACTTTACTATTAAATGGTACATTTTTGTTACTACATTAATGAGAATGAGGTATGCTTAACTGAATATAAAAAGTATGTTAAATGCAAATAGATAAATACAAATCTTGTCCTATTTTTATTTAGAGACAAACGATCAGCTCACTTTGTCTCTATCCATGAGATTGTCACTTGTTGTCCTGGTCTTGTCCTCTCTCAAACAAACTTTTCTTACTGGAGATGCTCACAAGTCTCAGATCCTGAGCATAAACAAATGAGTTATGAGAGAAAACATAGAGAAGACAATGTTCCATATTTAAAGCCGTTAACTCATTCAAGTCAAGTTTGGCGAGAATCTTCCACATTCAGTGGATCAGCCATCAGTGCCACAGACTGCAAACTGAACGAGAAAGAAATATCTACTTATATATTGCATAAAGAAACTGAAACCAGTTTTAAGGCTATTGTTTTTTTTTTTGTATTGCAAAGATTAATTTCATGACCACTGATCACACTTTCACCCCAAACAGAAATACAGTAATAATTCTCTTGTTTGAAGGATTATAATATCTGAGTATTTTTTGTTCATACAATAAAAGTCGCTGGTAACCAAAACAGCTTTGTTATCAACAATCTTCAAAATCCCATACTTTTATATTCCACAAAAGAAAGGTTTGAAACGGTTTGAGGGTGAGTAAATGATGACAGAAGTTACAATTTTGGGGTAAACTATCCCTTTAATGTTATTATTATTATTATTATTATTTTATTTTAATGAAATGATACTCTAAATAAGAAACTAAATCTGCCAGCAGGTGGCGGTAAATGTCTTTGAGTCATTCATTCAACGGCTGATTCATTCAGGAATGAAGTACATGGCTGTTTATGAATGGGTCTTCGAATCATTGGTTCACACGATTCGTTCAAAACGCGGATTCCTTCAGAAACTAAACGCTGCTGTTTCTCGAAAACGCGCAACAATTCTGTTATGGCTTTAAAGGTAATTTGTTCTCTGCAAAATTGAGCAAAAACATATTGTGTTTAAAATATAACACAATATCATTGTTTTGGGTTTGGGTTATTATACACAATTTTTGGGTATAATATGTTACAGTTTACTTTATTTTGCTATCCTCACTTACATAAATGAACTACAGTGTCCTGCACCCA